GGCACAAGGAAAGTGAACAAGAGGAAAGGGTAGTTGCTCTTCAGCCGAGTTAAATTTTTCTTCACTAAAGCGGGTATGCGCTGTCGGGTTGAAGTCTCCCAGAACGTGTCGCGACGCCTCGAGTCAGGATCGATTTGTGCTCCTCCCGACGGAATATGTCGCGCGACGTGTGCCGGAAGCACGCATAGCGAAGGCGTCTGGAAGAAAATATTCCGCGCGTCAGAACCCCGACTGCGGATGATTGGCGCGATTTTCTGAAGGAAAACGGAGTCGACGACGAGACCGTCCTGGGCAACGTTCGAATTTTGCCGCTAGAGCCCGAAAACATCCTTGAGAGAGAGGAGGTCCCGGGAAAACGGTTCCAGACCATGAATATTCGGGACGGACAGAGAGAGGAGTACAGGGATATCTTGGGGATACAGTTGAATCTGATGGCAATAAGAGAACGCACCCGATATAATGTGTGTGATTATCTAGACTGAATATCGGTCCGGCTAAACTCCTACCTCTCCCTCGAGCTCTTTGGCGCTGAGGTCCTTATCCTCGATTTTGAGACCGACCACCTCGAGATTCTTCTGCTGAGCGAGCGAAAGTCTCTCCTCATCAGCTGCAATGCAGAGCTGCAGGAAGACGTCTTCGAGACTTCCACAACAGAAATCCTCCATGAGTCGGTCGGGTGAGTCCTGGGCCAGCATTCGACCCGACCTCATGAGACCCACCATGTGTGCCTGTCGAGCTTCCTCGACGTAGTGAGTGGTCACGATGACCGTCATACCTTTCTCGCGTGTCAAGGTCACGAGATAGTTCCAGATCCTGCGAATAGATAATATGCGTTCGCGAAAACTCGAGGGGATAAATCCACCCCAGCCCATTAAAAACATTTCATTTTGCATTTCGACTTGCTCGTGGAAACTTACGCCAGTCGTAGGAGCGGGTCGACCCCGACCGTGGGTTCATCGAGAATCAGGAGAGGAGGTTCATGAATCAAAGCAACGGCGAGAGACACTCGTCTCTGTTGACCGCCAGAGAGCTTTCCCACCTTTTTGTAAGGCCTCGGGAGGTCGAGAAAATCCAAGAGGAAGCGGATGCGCTCTGCAGAAAGAAAGAAAATAATTATTTATTGGTGTTCGGGTGACCGCTCCATCGGACACTTGATCGCTGGCCCTCGTACTCAGGTTAAAACCTATTCTCGGGATTGATTCACGGAAAGATTCGGTTTCGTTACAAGATCGCTTCCAAATGGGAGACCGTCAATTCATTCTGACCGGGCGACCCGATACATGATGAACGACTTTTGGATTCACACCGCACGCAATAGATCCAGGGCCTCCCTGACGTTCGATGTCGGAGCCGGGTCCCTCCAGTCACTCCGGGAAGTGCTGCGATTCGATTTGATTCCTCACCGCGTGACGGATCTCTGTGTCCTCCGCGACCTGAGATCTGCTCCACCTCTCGCGGTTTCTCTAAACGCTCACCTTGGATAAGTTCTTCAGGCATTCCATAGAGTTGCCCGAAGTGATGTAGGTTGCCGTATATGGTCTTCTCCTGATACAGCGCGGGTTCCTGTGGCATGTAGCCGACTCCCGGTCCTGGAATACACGATCCCGGCGAACCAGGAATCTGATCGAAGACTCGGACCATTCCTCCTTGAGGTTTCAAACGGCCCACGATGCATTTGAGCAGAGTGGTTTTCCCACAACCGCTGGGACCGAGAAGTCCATATCTGGGAGAATAAACACACAAAACTTCAGCGTTCTCTCCTTGCCTTGTCTATTCGGCTAATAGTAATGAGTAAAGTTAAGGGAACGGTTATCATTGCTGTAGGAGACTCTCGGATCGGACTCTCTAGTCTTATACAAAGACGACGGGTCCTCGCTCTGGATTCGAGGGCATCTCGCTCGGACCTTTGGCACATTGCTAATGAACTCAATCGAACTCGTTATTGATTTGGCTATCAAGATAGTGCGAGGAGAAGATACAAAGCGGATGACTTACATTTGGCCTTCAGGCACCGTGAGGTCGATGCCTCTGAGCACGTCTAGGGCCTGACTTCCGTACCCGTACGTCAATCGGAGACGGTCGACGTCCACGGCGAGCTTCCGTGTGAGGGTCCCCAGAGGATATTTGTAATCCTCTTGGCTGAAGATGTTGAAGTCCAGAAGCTGTGCCATCTCTTCAGGTAGTTTCCTCCTGAAGGGTTGAGGATTCGCGAGAGATGAGCAACTCAATGGATCAGAATTTCTGATCTCGTAGAACGGAGTCGAACACGGCTAAGGTTTTCGCCCGATGTATGATGCGCTTTATCGATACTCTGAAGAAGCTTAAATAATGCTCAGGATGAAAGGACGAGAGCGGAATACGGGGTTCCATAGAAAGTTTCGTTTTCGGTGGCGGTACGCTCCTCGAAAACACCTTCTCTCCTCGCCTTTCTCGAACCTTCTCTTCTACGCTCTCGGGAGCCTGAGGTGGGCGATGAACCCCCGATGCTGGGTCTCCGCTTAACGACAATGGTTCGATCCTTGGCGACGGAACCGGCGGCGAAACCGTTCTTTCTTCGGTGCACGGCTGAATTCGGTTATCCGCTGCGTTCGAGGGATTTTCGTGTTGAAGTAGAGTCTGACTTGGGGTCCACCAGCACGGAGGTGCTGCCTGAGGTATTAGTCCAAAACATCCACCGACAACCGGTTTCCCCGACTCCGAACGCCATCCTCTATATCTAGAATCTAGAATAGAATATCATATATCTAGAATGCCTCGACGGGTCACCTGAAAAGCGTGGCCTTCCCATTCAAGGAGGTGCATGCCAAGAAGCTGTGTGAGGGGGCCATTGCGGTGGATGAGATTGAATTAAAAGTGTCCCATAGCTTTGCGACCTGACCTCACGATGAAGTCGCTCATTTCTTCTCTTGAGTCTCGCCTCCCCCCGATTGCTTCTGAGTGCGGAGTCATCTCGTCCCGCCACCCACTCGCACAGCTCGGGCGCATCGCTTGTACTCCACCCCCAGAAGTTCCCCAGTCCCATGGATACGGCTCCGCTCGACGGAACTCAGGCGCCTCCGTACGTTCATCTCTCGGTGCGGCATGTCGAACGCTCATGAATAGCGCAAGACGACTCGAAAAATTGGAGCCTTGCTTCAAGCGGCTCTCTGCTTTGACTTGTCTAACGCAATCTCGAAACATAGTGGCAGGCCGCGATTTTAAGATCAAATCCGACAGAGGAACGGATCTCCGCGAGGGCTTCGGCCACATAACCCTGGAGTCTTACATACCGTCGTATGAGAGATGATGGCTAGAAAGCAGTAGCGTAAGGAGGGGGTCACTCACGAGAGGCAACATTTTCGAGTTGGGCGTTCGGGAGAGAAAGCCTCACGGAGACAAAGATCGGCAGTTTCGTGAGCCCTGTTCCGGAAGCCGGGAAATGAATCAGCACCCCGAGCTCCAGTCTGCTACGCTACTTCACTTATGTACAATATATGAAGATAAATCTACACATGTAGTCATAGCTTCCCTTCTGGGGCTGAATACGCGAGGAACATGCGAGGAAATTTCTTCAGTGTGTCAGAAGCTGTCCCAGGATCTTTATGGCACGAGTTCAAAGTCGGAGATTTGCCGGTGAGCGGTCCACCCAAGCTGATTCACGGCGATACTCCGCGGTCATTTGAGACGGAACTCCGGGAGGCGCCGGAGAATCTCATGTTCAATCCGAACGGCCGGAAAACCTGCGCGAACGTCGCCGATTGAGCGAATAATCGGATATCAGCTTGCCGCTTTCTCGATATCGAAACCGCGGAAAGTCTAATCGATTTCTGAGCGGGCCTTTCGTTTAGTCTCGGTGAACGTGAGTATCGCGGACTTCCGGGAGTATCCCGGAGGCGGAGACCCGGAGTAATTTTCGCTCGATGGATATTCTGTAGTTTTTCCGCTTTGGAAGACCTAGGTTTTGGAAGAGCACCTGTGCATCCTGATGAGGATTCATCGCGGAACGCTGATTCTTCGGGGTGATTCACGGTTTTTAGCGGAATCGGCACTGCAAACCACTGATGCGTGCCGCGCGACGCCGCGGCTCACCGGGGAATGTCGATATCGGCCGCGAAGACAACGGAATACTGTGGATTCTCGAACAATCAATAGGCCGTGAGATGCCGCGACGAATTCACGAAATTTTTAGCTATGTGTGTGAACATCATTCAACGCTCGGAATCTTTCGATCTTTGAGCATGGAATTGTCTTGGCTATCATTCTTATGTATGCGATACAACTCTTGCGATCATTCAAGTCGTCTCAAACGCCACCGAGCAGATTTGGGATCAACTTGTTCCTCAGATGCCATAAACAAAGAGATCCACAAGTCTACCTATTGGATATCCGTTAGGGGTTCATCAGGATTCGAGAGTCCTGCTTTTTATACGGAGACTCCACGCAGTATGGAGTCCGAGATATCCGAGGTCTGGAGTGTCTGGGGGACCACGGTCTCCGGTCCCCAAGCAAGCTTCGAGCAATCGTCTCGAAAGGACCAAGACACCGACAGAGTCCTCACGGCGGGCGCTCATTATGACGGGCGCTCGCCGCGGATTGTTCGGGTGTTTTTTTTGAGACCGCAGACGCTAATAGCTCTGTGAAGACCGGTCAAAATTCGCACGGGCGTTGACTCGAACGAGGCAGCCACACGCCGCGCTGGGTGCAAACGTCTGACAGGGACGATCCCGCCAACGGCTGCTTGCGAGGGCGTGAGCGGGATACTGTTCGAGTCAGGCGATCTGAATAACAGGGATCGAGGATCCCCGGGGCTTTCAGCTGATTCCATGATAGTGATCGGGCAACGCCCGCGGCGGTGGTTCAGGATTGTTTTCATCGGCGTGTGGGTTCTCCCACGAAATTCGGAGCCATATGGCCCCGGCCGAGAGGCCATCTGACACCTCCTCGCAAAAGTCAGAGAGATACTTGTGTGGCTCTCCATTCGGCTTGATCAACACACCTAACTGTTCTGATTTCCCCAGGACAGGACATCTCCCAGGTCTGGAATAGAACCGCTCTCGGATTTTTCACTGAAGCCGTCAGAATCATGATCCATTACCAGTCAAGCGAGCTTCACAATAGAATGATGCTCTCGCGATGAGCGTGTCGTTCGGCCGCATAAGAATGGATGCGGTCCGAGATTGTACATCCGTGGTGTTCTCGCGCGCAATAAAAATGGATTCTCCCGCGACCCTCGAAGTGGAACTGGATGCGATCGATGCGAGAATCATCCCGAAACTCACAGGCGCCCCTTCTCGCAGTAATTGAGAAGGTAACCGGTGAAAATCACGCTTTCCATAAGGGACAAGGTGTCTGCGACACCTTGTTCGTTCTCCATTCGGTATTGCCCTTGAGAGTGACACCGCTGTCGGGATGTCCCTTTGATCACGGGATTCAACTCCCAATCAGTGTAGTCCATGTATGATTCACTCGAATCTCGAGTTATTCCCTTCCCACTTGAATTTGTTTGCTAACTTTAACCAAGGGAAGGGCATTCCCCCCCAAACAGTTGGCCGCTGCTACAGTTCCCGCAGAAGGTCTCTCCCCTTTCCATGTGGCATCCGTGTCGGAGAGCACCCAAGGTATATCCAAGTGATCCTTTATTTCAAGAAAAGGGAAATAGTGCGGCGAGGCGTTCATGGCGAGAGCAAATGCGACTGCGTTCTGCAAAGACTTATTTCCCGACTCAGCATCAATTCCGATGATCCAGCTTCCGGGGAAGTCTTCGATTTGACTTGCAGTACACTTCCTGACCCCGTCTCCTTACTTCAAAATCAGCCTAAAGTTCGTCGTTCCGTCCAATTTTTATCAGTTCGACTTCGAACACGAGCGTGGCTTCGGCTGGAAATCGAGCGATATTTTTCGTCATTAATGATGAAACCGGTAATGATTGATTCTTAGGAATTGTTCGAGAGAAGGATGTGTTCCTGGAAATAGGAATGCCGCAAGTCTTACGCGGAATGGTAGGTGGAACTCCTGCAGAGCCGTAAGCCATATCAGGTGGGATGACGAGCTTCCGCTTTTCGCCGACGCACATCCTGTAAGCAGCATTTGTATCGAGATGTCGTTCAGTATGGGCGACTAGCGATCAGCATTCTTCGCCTCAAGTGCACGCATGTATTCACCCTAGGAGTCCTTGGTCCCATCCTCGGATGACTTGACCACTGCCCAGAGTGAAGCTGAGGGGTTGGCCTCTATCGTAGGAGCTGTCGAATTTCTTCCCGTCTTCAAGAGTGCCTGCAAGGGAAATATTCGTGGGACCACAGATCACGGGAGCGGATACGACTCGATTCATTATACGTCCAGAGGCACCACAGGGGTGTGAGGATGGATTTGGCGCGAGTAGATTTCTCACCCGTGTAGTGCATGTGAAGCACGTCTCCAGCTTTGGTCTTGGTATCGCAAGTTTCGGGTCTCTTCTTCACGCCTATCTGAAGTTTTTTCTCCTCAGCCGCGCAACAGGTGAGGATTGCTAGAAATGAAAAGCTTGTTTCTAATGCCTCATCGTGAGGAAAAGTACGCGAAGCGGTGACGGCGCTCACCGGGCGCTCATATACGAATTCGTCAAATTTTTCTCAGCGCGGAGAGCCCTTAAACTCATGCCGCGGCCGGGATAGAGCTCAGACGAGCGGAATGCCTTCGTTGGGGGCCACACCGTAGAAGGCTTGCGAAGGAAGCCACGTATCGACACGCTGAGTACAGGACTCTTCGATGAGCGAGGGTGCATCGGTCGGTCGAGAATTTCTCAGTTTTCAACCTACCGGAAAGCATGGCACATTTCAAAAGGGTCTTCATTCTGATCAACCACAATCCGTCTGACCCTCGCGTGCAGATTCCGGCGCTCGAGAAGGATATTTGATTCGGTGTATTTGTACGAGAACGTTGACAAGCCGCGGGAGGGAGAGAGGAGGTCTGGAGCATGGCAGTGCACTCTCCGCCGTGATAGTGATACACGATGTCGGCGAACATCGGAGCCATCACGGACGTTTCAGGATATGTAGATGGTGCCTGATGTATCCGAGCTCATCAGTAAGACTTCTCCATGGATTCCGGAAGTTTCCATGCCGAAATATTTCGTGTCAGAAGAGGAAAGAGAAACTTTTCGAAATCACCCGCCAAAATAGGTAAACAACGACTCGCATCAGCTGTTGTGTTTCTCTCGGTCTCACATGTGCGCGGAAACCGAACAGATGAGTGGAAGACGAGCCGGAATCGCTGGTGTATCGGAGAGACTTGAGATTCAACCATCCTAGTCGGTGGAATTCTTCCACAGAGTCTCCGCTCGGCTTCGAGGACGACATGCGCGAAAGAATCATCACTAAGGCTCACGAAGCTTATAAATTACTGCGGGGCGTCGTTTGCGTGCACAAGGAAGCCTTTCGGGGTGGCACAAGGGTGACACATGAGCTGAAAGCGGCTCTCGCTTCTGGTGAGCCTCCCGAGAATCCATCCATTGAATTACTAAAGGACCTCATCACTGTTGAGATTTTTATATTCTAACAGTTTTGAGGCATCGAATCTCACGGACAATATTTTTTGGTGCTATTTCCCACTCTCCTCTAATTCTACCCGAATGCAGAATTGAATGGCATGATCCCGAGACCACAGGAGCAGAGGATAGAGATAAGCGGTAGCTTTGAGGAGGAGAAATTCCAAGTTGTTCAACGATCGTCCCTCGCCGACCATGTCCTCGTTGCGGGTCCCTTGTATGACAAGTAAGCAAATCTAGTCGACCTCTAGCGCCTCACCTTAGCTGATGATTCGGAAGCCTTCAATGCTTATGCCAGCTCTTTCATATGATTCAATCCGATGATTGGGTTTTACAGATCGGACATCAGTATTGTGCCGCTGTCCTTGCCTCTGTATATGTCTAGCGGGCTCTGCCTCCTCGGTCTCGCTCCCAAGAGAGATATGTTCAAGCTGAAGACGACTCCCTTGGTGAGTGTATTCGGCTGCTCGAATTCGTACAGGATGATGTGTATTTAGAGCCGCCGTATGGATATTTCTCACCCGCTCCATTTTTAGGTGAGCACATACGAAATGAAATGTGTTCTCGGAATTATGACGGATGATGGGACGACGAACGGGAGGATTCGCGAGCGGAGTCGGTATCATCACGTACATCAGGCCATAATTGAACGATATCTCAGCTCGGTGCAAGCTGGCTTCCAGGTAAGCCATCGATCAATAATTATCATTATCATAATCAATTACTACAATCAACAATAAAATTGTACACGATTGTCATCGATCATAAGCTGCCGGGTATCCGACGCTACCAGGGCTGCTAGGTCTCGAGGATCCTTCCCTAAGTGCGAGTCTTCGTCCGCAGCGGCAGGGCTTCGAGTACGCCGGCGTTGACATGGACTCTCAGGAAGCTTATGAACTAGCGAGCAAGGGCCTGTTACGACCGCAGCAGCCAACGATGCCGCTAATTTATGCTTTGCGGTGTACAGAATTCGACGCGCCGTCTTTTACGTTAGGTCAGTCCTCCGCCCGGATTTCTCGTGACATTGAGATTCGAACCCGACTCGTTCTGATTCGTCTTTTCTGTCTTACAGAGGTGCAAGTGATCAACGGTGACGACGTTTACTTGAGGACTCTCGTCTGCGATCTGGCCTTGAAACTGAAGACCACAGCCGCCTTGGATAAAATGCGAAGAACAAGGTTCGTACGGGATTCTCATTGCGGCCTACCCGTTGCGAGTCCGCGTCATGGTCGCGCGGAACTTGATGGGCTTCATTGATCCCGATCTCGACGTTGAGCCAAGAAGTCAGAGTTCTTTGCTCGCGCCTTAATCTGAACTACTTATAGGTACGGCCCGTTCACCCTCGACATGGCGTTGATAAAACACCTTTACTCCGTGGAGAATGTGTTGGACAATATCGAGGAAATCAGACCGACCGTTGATAAGCTGCTCTACCCGAACATATTCAAAGTCGCGGACTCGACCGAGGAGACCTTGACCGTCGTTCCAGAATTGTGACGTAACCTTTCAAGTCTAATAGTGGATTTCTAATAAAGTGGAAATTTCTGGCTTTGGATAGTCGTCCCTCGAGTCTCGACGAGGCTCGAAATCAGTCCGCTGGAAAACTTTGCTTAAAGAATGACAATATCAGCAATCCGAGGAAATCGAGAACGATCCCGATGTCCCCATCAGAAGGAAGCGGAAAGAAACTTGTGTTTGCGAGAGAGGTCCGCAGGAGGCCCCGTGAAGTCAGGTCCTCCACCCGCGGGAAAGCAAGAGCGAAAAAAGAAGTTGTGTCTCGCGTTCGTGAAACTAATTCCCGGGATAGGGACCTCGATGAAGAATCCATGAATATAGGAAGCGAAGTTCTCACGCGGCGTTGCTCAAGGTTCCGATGGGTTTATGGAGACTTTCACGGCATTTCCGGAGAGTACCAGCGGATCTCAGGTGATCCGCCGGATCAAGATTAGAACCCGTCCCGAAACCATAATCAGGGGCGGATCCAGGAGTCTTCTGAGAGGGGGCCGTTCAATTCATCGAGGGAGGGGCGAATTGATACCTGTGTCCTGCTTCAACATGGGGAGTATAGGAAGTCCGAAGTCTCGACGGGGGCGATCGCCCGAGCGGCTCCCCCCGGATCCGCTTTTAGCCACAATCACGGTCGGACGTTTCCGCCGGAATCGAACTTTGCTTCCGACACTCGATTTAGATCTCACCCGGCATACATACGTCGCCGAGAACTTTGACGGATTCTCGGCTCGAGCTCCGCTAGCTGCATCGCCTACGGCTGTTGACTTCTTTTGCTTCGATGTTCAGGGGCACGAGTCAAACCAAAATCTACTCAAATAAATTCTGATCGTCTTAAGCGGCCCCATCCGAAAGATCGTCTCCGTGGAATCATAGGCGATTCTCTGCCCCTCCCAAATCTCGGACTGGAAATGGGAATCCCGCCGTCGGAAGAACGTTCTCAAGAGGAATTCGCAGCTGGACCAGTCTCCAAATTGCGCGAAGCTCTAGATTGGTGTCCCCGAGGAAGGGTGAAAATCGTGGCGGACATCCCCTTGACTCCATCGGTGTGTTTTACCCGAGGATCTGCAGACTCTACTTCCATCAGACACCCGAAGCTTGACACGTTGTTTTTACAGTGATTTTTTTCCGTTTCCCTCGCCGCGAGGCATGCGGCGCTGGTGTCGACGTCGAAGGCGGTGGTGGTGGTGCTGCCGCCGCCGACTGCTGTAGTGGCGGCAGCTACGGCGGCGGCGGCAGCTTCTTGCGAGAGGAACTTTCTGAAGACCTTCCCTCATCGGTCGTCGGACTTCACCATCGCTTGTGTTAGAAGACCCGCCGATCGTCGCTGCTCTGTTGTGTTTCTCGGCCGCTGTTGGATTGTGGGCGACCCGAGCCAGCGTTCGATATCTATATGATAAAATTCTATATGTCAGTGTATTTTTGTGTGTGTCTCCGCTAGCGGAGTATTCCATGTGAAATGTCTGTATAGCAACCGCTGGATATCCACACATCGATGGGCTAGAACATCCGTAAAGCGAAGTTCGAAGGAACCCCAAAAATGTAAGCGAGCATGCGAGCGCCTCTAACGGGATCGGCTCTTGGTGCGCTTGGCGACAGGCGGACCCCACGTACGTGGGTACTGACCCGGAACCGAGCCTTCAGCCTCCGAAATCTATTTTTTTCAAATGTATCAATGTCTGAATGTGAAAATTGTTTCGCAACGAGTTTCGTGGGAAGTGTCGGATGGATGCTTCGGAGAACACCATAGTGCCCCAGAGTCGCATGACATTCTGCTCCTGGACTGTCGTGGATGCCTATGGTATTGACACTGAAGCTCCTCAGTGGACAATTCTTGTCGCGTTCCGTTGTATAAAGATAAAGAGCTTCCTTCCCTACTCTTTCGATGCCGGACTTTACAGCTCTATGACTTTGACGGGGGATTCTCGAAGACGGCTAAGAACTCGGCAGGGCTCCGATCGTTCGAGTTCGAGTGCGGAACATTTGCGGAGACTCTGAAGACGGAATCGCACTTGATGAAATCATACATCTTTTTTTCCTAAAGAGATTGAGAAAGATTCATCTCACACCGCAGTGGTGTCAAAGGTTGTCACGGACGTACTGCGAAACGTGTCCCAGATACTCTCACCGTTTGGAAAAAACTATGAAGCCCTTAGTCTTCCGTAACCGCCGGTACGACCTCGGGTCATCTCCGGACGAGGGTAGAAAATACTCGGCGGACGAACAGGGAAGGTATTCGTTGCTCTGCTAGACAGAGCTTTTGTCGGAGCTTTCGAAAGTTCGCTTGTTTGCGTCACAAATCACCCTGCCCCGGAAAGCCACGGCATCACCACCGCTGCCATTGCCTGCCAGTTGACCGCTCGCTTCAGTCGTTGTCGTCGAACATTCAACCCCGGCTCCTAACAGCTATCGAGCCGGCGGCGCTACGGATCGAGCTGAAAGCGGTCTCACTCAGAGAAAGCCTTGATTTGCGACGGGAAACGCGCTCGAGGAGCGAATTTTGATTCTGTCCGCGGTATGATTTCGGGGAACTCCTTAATTTCACCAGTCGCTCCGAAGGTCCAAGGATACTCCGAATCACCCGAGAGACGTCCTCCTTTCGACCATATACGCACCGGGTCGCCGCGCCGGTGCGATACTTGACGGATTGTTGAGACAACATGTCAAAGCCGTGGATGCTTCTCCCTGGTTATGATACGTCGATAGACGGTGCGACGGAACGAAAGCGGAGACCGGAAACCCTTAATGATGGATGTTCAAGTTTTTCCGTCGGTTTGCCAAATTCATCATCCCTATAGATTTCTGCTCTCGTCCCCGATAGATGGTGTCATGTGAACCCTCGATGCTGCTGCTGCTCGGAACACTCCCATCGGCCCGGTATTGGTTGGGAATCACATAAGTGAAACGCTTACTTATATCGAGCGGAGCATATTCCGAAAATATGATTGTTCCGAATTTCGTTTTGACGACCATTCGTCAAATTGAGGAAGTGGTTCCTTTCGAAGCTGGCGAAGTCGTCTACGGCTTTGGGCGAGTCGAATAGTGGCGGCCCAGATAGATCCTCATCATCTCCACGACAAAAAGTCAACTGTTGGAATGATGCTGTATGGCGAGGCGTCCCTTGCGTCGGGGGCTTTTGCAAGAAGAAAGGTCATCATGAAGCGCGCCCTTTACGTCAGCCCCAAGGTTGACGCTGTCGTGAAAGAACACACCAGTCGAGCGGGCAGACGTCGAATGCTTTCTATAGTTCGGCTAAGTCAGCTGCGAATGAAGTTCTCCGCGAACAGATACACGAGCCAAGGCCGAGGACGGAGGTGGGAACCGAGAGAGATCTGGTGAATCGAAGCAGGCGGATCTACTTCTCGTTGCATATTGATTTCACTCGCACCCCCAACGACTTCGACCTGAATTTGAAATCGCAATTTCGAAATCAGATTCCAGAAATGAAATCAGTAATCACAATACTACCCCAAATCGGATTCGTTCAATCGCGGTCTCTTACGATACAACAGTATCTTTCCATCATCCGGAAATGTGTTTCTTATTTCAAGACCTCCAGCAGTTGAAGTTGGGAGACGAACTCTTCCGTAGGCGATCTGTGCGAGCGACACGACGCCTGTCGTCATCCATATTTACGGAAATGGAGAAAGTGCCGGGAGGAAACCCCGACCTTAAGAAACACATTCGAAACCGTTAGGACATTTGGCAGTTTATTTCACTGTTCCGGAATTATCATTCGGGGAAATCCCGACCGCGCTTTACGGTCCCTCCCAGACGCAGTCAGACTGAGGCAAACGATCAAGACGGGAAAGTGTAAGTCTGTTTCCCGATTCACTTCAGCAGAAAAACAATCAGGGTAGAGCCAGCGTCGCCGTCAATTTCCGGAACGAGCGACGTGAGCCTCGAACACCCCAGGAACATGTTGAAGAATCAACCCAGGATCGGGACTTGAGACTTTGATGACTATTTCTCGAAATCAAACATTCGGTCGAAAGAAGTTTCGACTCCCGCGATGAGAGTGAACAAGGAGTCGTCTTATACGACGGCCGGAAACGTTCCAAAGATTTACTCGGAGAATTCCGATGGCCGACTAGAATAGCTCCCACGACCTGACAATCAGACATCAGACTTTTATTCCCAATTCCTCCACGGTTTCTGATCCGCGTGTTCCGGACTTGGCTTCGGAAAACATCAGGCGACTTTCGGAGAGCACCTGACATGAATCCATGCCCATTCATCCATCGATTCAGGAATTCATGAATTCGTAGACCTCATCGATCTCCCCGCTCAGGTTCGATGTCTTTCGTGACGGGCTCTTTTCGGAAGACCGAGCTGGGATTCTGACTTAGGGACTCGATTCGGCTTCCGTGGAGCTCAGCACCGCAGGCCCGATTCGAGAAGCCTCCAGACAACTATTTTCAGTCATTCCTAGAACTTCGAAGCTTCTCGGGTCGACTCTGAGAGTATCGACTCGCTCTGTGACGGCCTTCGCGGTGGTGCCTCATCGGACGTATGATGCTCGGCGTTTTCCCAAACCTGTCCGTTCGAAAATCGAACAATCGAGGATGTACAGCGCTTCCCGCGGACTGCGTCAATTTCGAAAATGAATGAAGCGAGGAAGGACATCGACGATTTTCCAGAAGCCGGGGCTGCCGACACTCATGGCCGCATTCTCCGCGTGACTTGGGAGGTGCGTGCCAGAGCGATGAGGTGCGTGCCAGAGCGATGAGGTGCGCAACTGGCTCCAGATAATCGGAACGAGCTACGCTCGCACCCGCAGAGATTTCACGAAACCCGCGATCTGGAGGATCCAGTATTTTGGAGAGTCAGTCCGATCTACGGTAGACTCTGTATGCATTTCTCTTCAGCAAGCCGGTATGTTCTTGTGTTTCGGTAGCTCCGATCGTTCCGTGATTACTGGTCTCCCCAGTTTCGGAACTCGGAATGGTGCTGGCCAGTTTGATTTCGATGACACATTCAGCTGAGC